TAAATATACCAAACATTTATACCATAAATAACATACTTTGTAACACAGATTTTTTTTCAATAAGTTATTTTTTAGCGATAATTTTTTTTTAAATAATCTATTTATTTCATTAATATCTTTATTTTGATGAAAATTAAAAATACATTTAACCTCAGCAGTTGCACCACATTTTGCCATATATTCCAGTGTTTTAATGATATCATTACCAACATAAGATCGCTTAAAACCATCAAAACTAATCACTAATAATGGCTTCTGAATGAAACTGAAAAGATAAGTTTATCAAAGGCCTAAACTAAGTGATAATAATGATAAAACAAGTCTATTATAATTTTAAACACAGTACCTTATCAATTTTTTTCGTTAATAATCCTTGAATTAATAGTATCACATTTTCATATATTTAATTTTATGATTTTTGAAAAAAAAAATAGTAGAAAATAATTTTTGAAAAAAAATTACTTTATTGCATTTAATAAATCAGAAAAGAAAGAAGAGCAATAGATAAGGAATAAAAATCGAAAATATTTTAGTCTACTATCGCTTTATTACTTCAAAATTATATCCAATGCATATCAAATTGTGGTTTTCATTAGAAATTAAAATTCACCATTTTATATGAATTTAAAAATTCAAAAAACATACTCAGTTTCATGACATTTTATTGAACAGTCTTCATTTGACCACAATTGTTCTCTTTTCTAAAATTTATTTTTTGCAAGAAAATACATACTGAAAATAAATGTTTGCTAATTTTGATAATTGATGATTTATTGATTGAAATATTTAAACTCACAATTATTTTTAGTTATTAATTTTTTTTTAGATTAATGAACTGGATAAAATAATTGCATTATTTCATTTAAAAGAATATGTTGAACAATGAATAAAAAGTCAAATAATATCATATATAGTTTTCTAATCTCAATTTTGTCTATAAAACAAACTGTATTGCAGTGAACACTCCAGCAGATTTTTCCTACGGTCCATTATGAAAGCTAACAATAAGCACTAAATCAATAATCATCGATGGAAATGTTCGTTAACTGATTAAAAAAACGCTTTATTACGTTATTATAACATTATATTTTAAAATAAAATAAAGAATTTCAATATTTTCTATGCAATTTTAATATTATGAAAGTTATTCAACTATTCTAACTAATTGACTCTTAATTACAGAAAAAAAAAGAAACCCACTTCAGATTCGTTCCATGACGGAATAAAAATAATCGCTAAGCTAAAACCAATTATTATTAGTAGTAAAATAATACCAAAAAACGGTATTGTTGGTTGTTTATCTTTAAATTTTTTTCGAAATTGTACATCCATATCTAAAATATCATTTGATGATGTTAAAGATTAGAAATTTGGAAAATTATAAATTGGAACGATTGATTAATTAATGATTACTCGAGAAATAAAAATCATTTTTTTTCCTTTTTTTCTTTTATTTTTGTGCAAAAAAAAATCGTGAAGTGAAAGAATGAGAACTTAAATGCAAGAAATGTTAATTTTTCTAACATTTCATCACACTATGAGATTAATTATACAATTTAATAATCAGTCTAATCGACAAATGAGTAAAAAAAGAGATTTCAGAAAATAGAAAGTAAGAATTAATGAAATAATTCGACAATTTTAAAGATAAATATGCAGAAGAAGAAAAAAAGAATAAAAGGGAAATGTTAAAAAGAGGAAAGAAAATCACAGAATGATTTGTTCAAATTATTTTTAATGGCAATTTTGCATTTCATATTAGAATAGCAAAAAATAAAAAAAAAAATTTTACAATAATTGCGATACATTCATAATTCTTTAACAAACAACAATAAAAAATTAGTAATTCGCGCTTTTTCATTGTTATTAAGAAAATATTTTACTTACTGATTTAGTATTTAATTTCGTGTTATTCAGTATATATATATTTACTTTGAAAGAAATTTACTTTTATGGTAATTCTGATGCTCTCATGTTTGTTAAAATTTACTTTGAAAGAAAAGAAGAAACAAAAAGAAAAAAGAAAGTGAATATTTTTATTTTACATTTTAATAGTAAATTTTTTCTAATTAATAATTACTTGCAATTGGACAAATAACATTGCAAGTTCTTTTCTTCTACAATTGCTACATTACTCTTTTACCTTTGCTTATTCAAATTCTATTGATCATTTAATGCAATACCGATTTTTTCAAGTAACTTTTACTCATTTGGCAGGAGAATATCCATCTTTCATTTTTTCCTAAGAACTTTGTATTCGTCCCCTACTATCTCAATTATCATTAATCAATCACAGAATTGCTGTACCCAAACACTAATCAGTAACTCATTAGTCACCATGTAATCAATACAC